GACCTCGGTCCCCCTTGGTGGGCTCAGACCGCCTTCAGGGCTGGTCAAGGGGTCCCAGAAAGGGCTCCACTGCAGAGGAAGCAAGAGGGGCTGGGAGACCCGGGGCTCCTGCCTTAGTGAGGGGGTGTGGCGAGAGAATGGTCACCCCCACTGGAATCCTTCCGCAAGGCCCCTCCTCCTCTCCTTGGCCCTCAGGGCTCCCACCTTGTTCTAGGACCCACCGCTCTCCCAGTGGCCAGCGTGGCTGCTCCTGGCAGGGGCCTCCCCCTAGCCCTGACCCCTGACGCCCCCCCGGACTCCTACCCGCTGTATATCACTCTCCTATTTCAGGTTCACCTGGCTGCACCTGTGGACCCTCAGCTTCCTAAAGACAGCCACCCAACCCCAGCACCCCCTCACCTGCTGCTCCTCAGGGCCCACACACAGTAGGGGGCGCAGGGCGGAGGGATCCAGCAGAGGCAGGGGGGCTGCAGAAGGTGGGACCAGCACATGCTTGTAGGTGACAGCAGTATCCACTCCATCCGGGGGCTCCCTGGGCAGTCCCCTTGCCTCCTCTCCTGCTGACCTCAGTCCCAGGAGGACCTGGAACCAAAGGGTCAGTGCTCAGAGGGGCCACAGGGGACTTGCCTGGCACCACCCAGGAGTTAATGACCAACAGGACCCTGGGAACCAGGGGCTGGAGTTGTGGAAGGAGCCCCACGCTGGCTGGGAAACACCCAGGTGCAGTTCCTGGCTCTGTGGCCCCCAGCAAGGTCCCTGACCCTTTCCCCATCTAAATACAGGAGCCCTGTGGCCCTCACAGCCTGTCAGGGTGAGTACGCGGCGTATACTGAGGCACGTGTCATATCCTTCATGGTTTTGTGGCAACAGAATGTGTAGAACGTTTTTGGAGAGTATGATAAGTGGTCAAAATGCGTCCCATATGGGGTGACAGAGCTGAGATCCCCAAGACCGGAGTACTGAGAAACAGGGCCGTTGTAAGGGCCACTCCCCAGGGCCCGGTGCCTCCTCAGCCCCATAGGAGAAAGTCAAACTGATGTAGCCCAGCCAGGGCGAGAGTTCTCCACTGAGGCGGGAGTGGCCGGGAGGCAGGGCACCGGGGGACAGGGGCCTGGGAGCAGGCCTGGCATACCTGGGTCTCTGCGGGCGGCTCCTGGGGCCGGGGCTCCTCGGTCCGGGGCAGGTCCTGCTGGGCTGTCCCGTGGAGGCAGCTGGAGCACCTCCAGGTCCCACTGTTCATGTTGTCACCAGCCAGAGACATGCGGGGCAGGGCAGAGGGGACAGTGGACTCCCCAGCCCACAAGGCAGGGGAGGCCTGAGGCTCCTTCAGGTCACCTTTTCCCTTCACAAGTAGGGAAACTGAGGCCCAGCAGGGAAGTGTGCAGAGCCGCAGTGAAAGGGCCTGCCCAGCCAGTCAGCAGGAGAGCCCAGGAGGCCGGTACGTTACCCCTGGTGGGGTGTCCCTCGCCAGCGTGGCCTGTCCCGAGTGCTTCTCTGATGAGCCTCCAGAATTTCTGACCCCCGATAACCGGCAGTGGCCCGTGCCTGGCTCTCACGGGCCTTGTTGTGCTGGGCCTCCCTGGGCTGGGCTGCTTGCATCCCTGGGACCCACTCTCGTTTCCATAGGGGGATGGTGCCCAGCAGAATGGGAGCTGAGGGCTGACCCCAGCCAAACCCCCTTGTTTCAGCACAGAGGGATGGGACCTGGTCAAGGTCAGGCAGGGAGCAGGCAGGGCTCGGACTAGGAGGCCCACCCAGCGCTCCACCCCGCAGACCAGACTGCCCTGACCTGGGGAGGCAGAGGTCAGGGGCATGGGAGGTAGAGTCAGGAGGCCTTGCGCTGGGCCCAGGGTGGACACCCACTGGCCCTTGTAGGGGCAGCTCTGTGGCCTCTGAGCTCCCCCACCCAACGTGGAGTCAGACTTTTCTTAGGGCTGGGGAGAGTGGGGCGAGATGGGGCGGGATGGCCACACCTTGGCCCGGGCCTCCATTCTGCTTGGCCGCCCTCCGGGGCCCTGCTGACCAGGCTGGGAGGACAGTGCGGCCACGCAGGGAGGTGAGGTGGGAAGATCCCGGGCCCCAGCCCCACTGCCCAGTGACCTGAACCCAGGCCCTGCCCAGGTGGGCCTCCTTGTGCATCTGTGGAGCCGAAAGACTTCTGGGCGGCCTCCCCCTCAGGGTCAGCAGGTGGAGGAGCCAGGTGGGGCAGCCTGGGTGCCAGGCTCACCTGGGGACTTCTCTGAGCGGCGGTGACAGGCAGGCCAGGTGGAAGGCGCGGGGGCAGCCGTCACAGCAGATCAGCTCCCCGCCGTCCCGGCACGCCGCACACTCGTCCTCGTTCTTCTGACGCCGGCAAGAGACAGGCAGCATCTGGGGGGTGCCCGGGCTGGGGACACTCATGTCCCCTCACCTGCTCCCCTCTGGCCAGTGCCTGAAATTCCACCCTGAACGCCTGCTCCCCGGGGCTCCTCCTGACCCCTGCACCCATGAGACTACCCCCAAGCACCCCCTGGGTCCATCCCTCTTGGGAAGAACAGTCCTTAAGAAAGCCCGGTTTCTCGTGGGTGCCTGTGCTCCAGGTGGCCCCGAGGCTGCACACCTCACTCCCACGCACAGCAGAGGGGCACGCCCAGCAGCCTTCCTGTCAGCCCTGAGCACCGCTGTCTCTCCGCCCGAGGACTGCTTGCGCCCCTGCCTGGATGGTACCTGCCATGCCCCTCCGATTGCCACCTCCTTCAGAAGCCCCCCGGGATTGCAGGGCTGAGCAGCCCCACACAGCAGTGGGCACACTCATTGTCGCAACTGCCCAGGGCCCCACCAGCCAGTGAGCTCCCGGGGGCAGGCACGGGTCTTGCTCATTCCTGGGTGCCCGGGGCCCAGCATATCCCCTGGCAGGGGCGTCGGGATCTGTGGCCAGTTCCGCCTCATTCAGAAATGGTGCGGAGAGCCCAAGAGGTTGGGTTCCTGGTTCTGAGCTCCAGGCAGGGGCCACTGTCCCACCCAGATGCACAACTGGCACGTGGACCAAACGCCGTAGTTTTAAAAGCCCAGGGGAACTCACTTGCTCTACTCGTGTGAATGCTTACAGTTGTTCATTATCAGAAAAAAATAGTGCTATTAAAAAAGAGTGCTCCACCCTGTGAACAGAAGCTTAGCCTCTGTCCTCAGCCACTGGAGCGAGCGCCCCGGAGAAGCAGCAAAAAGCAGCAGGAGGCCCCGCGCTCAGGACCGTGGGGATGGTCTGGGTGTTACCTGGTGGAGCTGGGGCTCACTGAGGAGGGCAGGGCGGGCCAGGGCCCTGTCCCGTGGGCCTGCCCTCGAATCGCCTCCACCCTTCAAGGGAGAAGAGGGAGGGTCACCAACAGGGGAGGCCGTCCGGGCAGGAGGGCCCCTCAGTGCAGCCCCCAGCCCTCCAGCAGAGCTCCTGCCTGGAGGTGACGCTGCCACCCCGTGGGTGCTGGAGGAGAGGGACCAAGGGCCAGGCCTCCCCAGGGGCTGTGGGGGCGGCGCTTACGGGGGCAGCAGCCTGGGTCCCCTTGGCTGGGACCAGGGTCTTCAGGCCACCGCTGCGGGTCTTGTTCTTCCCCCCGCCGGGGCCTTCGAGCTTGCTGGGGGTGTAGAACTGCCCCCCAACCTGGACGCACTTCTTGGAGCCACCTGGGAGGAGATGCTGACTGCAGGGAGGCCCGTGGGCTCCACGCTGGCTGTGCCTCCCCTACGCCCTACACACCCACGCCCCCCATCAGCTCTGGGGCTGGGATCCTGGACACAGGAGAGATTCTCTGCTGGGGGAGAGCGTGTCCCCCAAATTCATGTCCACTTGGAGTCTCAGAATGCGGCCTTATTTGGAAGTAGGGTCTTTGCAGGTGTAGCTAGTTAAGATGGGCTCACGCCAGACGCTGAAGAGGACACAGAGAGACCTGGGGAGGAGGCCCTGGGACGACGGGGGCAGAGGCTGGAGGGATGTGACCACAAGCCAGGGCACCAGGGCTGCTGGCAGCACCGTGAGTTGGGAGAGGTAGGCCCGAGTCTGCCCTAGAGCCTCCCAAGGGAGCGAGTGTGGCCCTGCCCATGCCTCAGTTTGGGGACTGCTATTGCTTTAAGCCACTCAGTTTATGGCAATTGTTCATAACAGCTCTAGGAAACTACTACAGGGTCCTTGGGACTGTCCCTGGTGGAACCCACACCTGCTCCCAGTGTCTTCGGTGTCCCCGGTGGGTGCCCAGTGCAGAGAGTAGAGGATGGGGTGATGCAGGGGTGGGTGGGGGAGGAGCAGTCTAGGGTGGGAGACCCAAGCAGCCTGTCCCTGTCCCAGCTGCTCTGGAGCTACCAGGGAGCCTTGGGGGGATGGGGACCCCCTGGCAGCCCCTCCCCATCGCGTCTACCTGACTCAAACACCTGCTGGATGAGGATGCCCTCCACGGCGCCACGGGCTCCCGGGACGTCCCCAGACGACACAGCCATGGCTCTCTGGACTGAGGTGGACATGGTCTGAATTCCTGTGGAAGGGAGCATCAAATGGGGGTGGGGGTCATGAATTGGGAAGATGGACTGGGGGGTGGTGAGGGCACCTGAGCAGCAGAATTCATCTTTCCTTCCACCCAGGGTAGGCCGGGGAGGGGGCCCAGCCCTTCAAAACACAGACAAGAGACAGACAGACAGTCCACGTCTAACTGTAGAGACAGGCCAAGGTATGTGTGTGTGTGCATGCGTGCACACGTGTATATGGTGTGGTCTAGTGTGTGTGGTGTGAGGTACGTGGTATGGTGTGGGCACAGCGGGCAGGAATGAAGGGGGGGACGCTGGCATGTGGCCCTGGGTTGTGCTGGGAGGGAGGTAGAGTTCTCGGGGTCTGCCCTGAGCTCAGCACCAGGTGACTGGACAGGGTCTCTAGGGTCCCATGTCCTATGGCAATGAGGGGACAGAAAAAGGCCAGGTTGTGTCTCCCAAGGGACCAGGGAGGATTCTCTGGAGGAAGCAGAGTCTGAGCTGGCTCTGAAGACTGGAGCACTCAGATGGGCACAGGCAGGGTGACCCCAGGTGTCCCCTCTTTCCCAGGTGAGACAACAGGCCAGCAGGGTCCCAGCTCCCAGGACAGGCCCCTGACCCTCGACCTGGGCCTGGCTCACCGTTGCCCAATGGGAGGCGCTGTGGCTCCGCGCTGCTCTCCAGCTTCTTGGCCGGCTTGGCCTTGGCTTGGGAGCCTGCAAGGGGAGCGGGGAGCAGGGAGCGGGACAGCTGGCCCTCCTCTGCCTACTGGGGCCAAAGCTGGGAGTGCAGGGAGAGCGCCAGGATGGTGCCTCCTGGACTCCATACTCCGGACTCCGGGCTCGGTGTCCACGTCAGGGAAAAGGAAGGCCACCCACCTGGCTGCTCACGGGGCCTGGGGACAACAAGGGCTGCCGGGCTCATCCAGGGTGCCCTCCAAGTACCCAGAGGGACCCCTCCCAGGCTGGCTCTGGGCCAGGCAGGAGGGACAGATGCCCCTGGAGCCGGTCAGGGAGGGGGTATGGTCAGGGGATGTCCAGTTCCCTGGGGGATCAAATTGGGTACCTGGACTGGAGGTGCCCCTCGGGGACAGGGCTGCTGGCGGGGCTGTCGGTGGTCCTTCCAGGGCCTTCCTCTTGCTGGGGGGCCTAGGCAGCAGTGCAGTGGCCTTGGGGCCGGCCGGGTGCTTCCTTCCCTTCCGGGACTGGCTGAGGTCCACATCTGCAGGGCGTGCAGAACTGACTCCCTGTTCAGGCAGGTGAGGCCTCAGCCCTTTGCCTCTTAAAACCCACAACGATGGTCTGGGTGATGTCCAGGGGCTCCCAAACAACGCATCCCTTCGCTCTCACAGTCCAGCAGGGCCCAGGGATGGCTCCCGCCACCCCGCCCCCAGCGCCCCACCTTTGGGGAAGCTGTCTAGGATGGGCTGCAGCCGGGCATATCTCTCCAGGTTGTAGTCCTTGAAAAGAACCCTCCAGAAGTCCAGGATGGCTGCCGCATCCTGGGTCAGGAGCCACGAGAGGAGCGCATGGAAGGCCTGTGGGCAGCCCTCCTTCTCTCTCAAACGCAGTGTCTCCTGAAGCAACGGTGGGAATGAGGTCCCAGCCTTGCCCTTCCCAGGCATCCCTTTTCCTGCTGCCGCCACTGTGGGACCAGCTGGAGACCTGGGCACCTATGTCCATCCCCTTGGCTTGGGGCCCGTGTGGGGATGGAACAGGGGTGCTGGGGTGAGGCGGGGGGGGGCGCCTGGAATTCATTGTAAGGGACTCTGCTCAGCTTGGAGGGAGGCCTGGGGAGGGCTCGGAAGGGGCACTGGGGATCCGGGGCAGTTGGGGGGTTGGGCGCCGTAACACGTCCTGGAGACCATTCACTGGGCTGGTGGGTGGGGCAGTGGGGGTGGGCTGCGGCCTTGGGGGCAGGGGACCAGTACCCCGGCGCTGGGGCTTGGGGGCGGGGAGGGCAGTTGGGGGGCGGGAGGAGCGGGGGAAGGGGGAGGGGGAGGGGGAGGGGC